AGTCTTCTGTAATGTAAGCATCTCAACACACACAGTTACAACCATCATAACAAAAACTAGAAATTATACTCAGGATGACGTTAATTGAGACATCACGAAGAAGGAAGTCGAACAGGAACGGACTAATCCAGTGTAGCCCAGCAGCAGCAGCAGACAGCTCTGGCTGGTGGATCCCAGCAGCATTAAAGACAAATGCGAAGCTACGACGTACAACAGCGGCAATAGCAGCTTCGGCAGTTTGTCAAGCGCCTCGTGGTGTTGGATATCTGACGCTCAAGATCCCCGACTCGTCGCGGCAAAACATGTCCTCAACGACGAAGCTGTCTGCCAGCACCTGTGGACATTCGATGTCAGAAGTCTTCGGGCCAAGCACGTAGGGTTCCGGCAAAGTGGAGGAGGAATACGGCCATCAATGGATTTGCTGTAAGATTGGAGCCTCTTCTGACCAAATACTTAAGACTTTTAACGTAAAACCTTTGCCTCTGCGCAGTATCGGTTGACCAGCTCGCGACAATTGTGCCTTAGATATCAGATATGGCGCCGGATGCTCTTCGTCCCCTTTTGTCTCGCGGCAACCGAATTCTGGCATGTGGATGCGGAATTGGAAGTAGTTATGTTGAAGGTCGCTGTTGGCGCGGTGAAGGGAGATCTCGTCGTTGCAATCACAAATAAACCCTTTTGCAAATCCTGCATCAGCTGGCAATCGGCAACCAACGTGACTTCTGGATCCCAACCCTGAAACGCCTTTGCACTAGCTGCCAGGCTGCACATTAATCAGGCCGCAGTCACCCTCCCCTTCGAGGATCCCCGGCACCAAGCGTGGTCGCTTCGCGCAGCTCTCTTCCTCGAACCTTGCTTCAGTGCTGTGCTCTGTGGCGGACCTCTCATCAAGTTTATGCAATGCTTCTTCACAGTCTATCCCGTCGAGGATGACATGACAGGGTGTTGGTTTCGGGGCATCACGAGGATGGCAAAATTCTGTTTCCAGCCCAGGCCTGTGTACACAGAAGCCTAGTTGACTCTGTGTCTTAACACCTGCCAACCAACAAGCACATTGCTGGCTAGGTCAATGGAACTGCACAAATCACAATGGGATATCCTTCTTCCGGGGCCCCGTGAATCGTCCATGGCAGCACGCATTGAAGCTAAAGCTGAAACCTTCCACAGCACCATCAAGTCTTTTGACTCACACTTAGCTATAATAATATACTATAATATACTATAATATACTATAATATACTATAATATACAAAAATATGCTATAATATACTATAACATACTATAACATACTATAATATACTATAATATACTATAATATACTATAATATACTATAATATACTGTAATATTCTATAATATACCATAATATACTATAATATACTATAATATACTATAATACAATATCCAAAGTAGGAAGCCCGGCAGCTCGAGATCCTCCTCGCGCAGCACGGTCTCGGGCCGTTTCGCCAAGGTAGTCCTTCGTGATCTTGGTTGGGATGATAAGATGTTGAGATGTGCTTGAAAAATCTGAATACCAAAACCTTTGAGATTGCGATTACTATTCGAGCTGGCTCGATCGGGCACACGGTCAGCGCCCTGCATGGCAAACAGCTAGCAGGTCCAGATCCCTGAAGATAACAGCTGGCGACATGTTTGCCACAGGCCTAGCATGAGACGAGGAACTATAGTATGTCGCAGGACATGGATTTAATCCGCAGCAGAATCTTGAAGCTGGGCATCATTCTTTTGGCAGCCTTCTGCGCCAGCTGGGGATCATTCTCGAAGTAATAGACTCTGCAGGGTGGCTCGGTTCGAAGGCTTTCTGGGCCCTGTCAGCAGCAAGCAGAGAAGCTCTAGGACGACAGCCATGCGGTTTAAAGACAAACTCGCTGAGTTAAGCAATGCCGACCTTCACACCTGGACTCTGCCCACGTGCGGCCGTCTGGTGCGCCTGCCTTGGGACTTCAGGTCTGATCCTCTGGCCCGTAATGGTGATTTTAGAATTGAAACCCTGACGTCGACTCGGGATACTCACACAAGCCTTGCTATGAAATGCCGATGGTGCGGTGTGCGATACTCGTCAAAGTGAACCACCAGCTGGCAATCCGGCAGGTTGGCAACATTCGTCGATACCAAAACAGCAATGTCACCCGCTCGGAATCGGGACAAGGTGTCGTTCCGCTGCTCTGTGGTCATCTTTCCGCATATAAACCCTGCAGGCCCCAGAGGCATTTCGGACAAGATGTGTGCCAGAGGGCCGGAGATGGCTGAATCCTTGACCAGCACGAGGCACCGTTCCGGCTCTGTTTGCTCCTGGAGGCTGCGCTCGGAAAACGTCGAGTGAAGCTCCCAAAAGACCAGAAACAAAGCCGTGTCCAAGGGCCACTGCAGTCCTCAGTCACGATCTCCATGAGCTTTTCAGCTTTGGCGGAATACTGTGGAGTTGAAAGCCACTGGGCATGAAGCTCCAGGGCTGACCTTGCGAAACAGGTTACGTGATTACTATCTCTCAGTTAGCACAAGAACGATTATAGTAGTTGTTATGGTGACCATAGTAGACATTGTACTCCTGATCCTTCCTTCAATCAGCCAGAGCAGAGCTGTCTGCATTTAAGGTCCTTGCACAGAAACCGTTTAAACTTTAAACTGTGTGGCAAAGGCTCAAGCGATGTCAGCGAAAGTTGCCAACATTCTTAAAATCTGCGAATACGACTTCTTCCAACTCTCCTACGAGAGTTCGGTGCCGCCGACTATCACAGCTTCGTCCATCCTAGAACACAATGTACGTGATGCAGAAATAGCAAGAAAACAGCAGCACCAAGTAGGACCAAAAGCAACGATTGTGCAGCCTCTTTAGCCTGCTTGAAGCAGCAAGTATCACATAGCGCATGGCGAAGAAGAAGGTATTGTCGTGGGATGACTTCAATGATGATGAGGATGAGGAGATGGATGGGTCAATCTTACTCTGGTTGGTCGGTGTGCTGTGAAATCTGGAACGTTCTGCTGCTACTGCTTCGTTCCTGTCATTTTTCAACTTCATCTTCTGCAGCTTTCCTTTTGTCCAAGGGGCGCTGCTTCCAGTAGCAACTCTTGCAGGGCTGGGAGCGTTCGTTCCAAAGCCTCCGCCTCCTGTCCTGGGTGTGCGCCAGGCTGCTGAGGTAGATACGATTGCTATGAATCTCCCTGGGCTTCGAATCCTGACGTTCTCCAATTCGGCACAGCTGCTTCGTTCTGGACAGTGTTGCGTGCGCTGCTTGAGCAGGGAAATCTTGCTTTCCAGCTGCGACATGACTCCATTCGTGATGGCGAACAAGAACGCATCCTTCGATCTTAGAGTTCGGTTTGGTTGGAACTCCCATCTTTCCATTTGTGGGCATCCGACCAGTGAACAGATCGTAGACAGGCTGGGAAATGTCAGCTCAGCCCCGTCGCCCCTGTTTTCGAACAGCCAAGACGCTCCAAAACACACTGACAACCCTTGAAGTCATAAACCACCCGACTTCACCCAAGATCGCAGGCGAGATGCCCTGCCCAGTTGCTCAAAAACCGTCGGGAGCTGGCCGAGGATGCGGGGGATGTCCTTGATTTTGGCGACTGCACCCAGCCTGGACGATAGTCTTCCAGTTCAGTCGGGGGCTTGGGTAGAGACCTTGTGGTGACGACAAACCGCTTCAAACTCAGCCCTCGTCTCACACGCAAGAATCCACGAACAAATTCACGACGAACCTCGACTGAACCCGTCGCGGCCTTTCGGTGCATTTCCGTTCCAGATCCCTTGGAAAGACATGCTTCGGGGCACAACAAAAACTGATTTTCTCGCTTCACCCATGCAGGACGAGAAAGAGGAGTGGTGAACAAGTGAACCAGGCATTTAAACACGCCAATCTCATCAAGCAGCAGCACCCAGGTGTGCAGGAACTTGACACATTTGCCATGTTCGGCGCCTTCTGGTGCAACATCCACCTGTGCCACCCAAGGCTCGCATGCATGCCTCAGGCGACTAGGCTACGCATGTCTCTTGTACTTCATGCAGCCCGTGGACCAATGCCATTAAAACCAACCGCAGCAACATCGGCAGCAGCAGCTTGGACTGCTGCATACTGCTGCTTATGGTCATCATTGCCGTCGTCACCAGCATCTTTCATCCTCAATGTGTCCATCATGAAGCTCCTTGTCACCATTATCTTTGCTGCGGCATGTATGCAGCAATGGACCTTCGTGAAGCCATCATCTTCGGAGCGATTGCGATGGTATTCGTCCGGGACATCAGGCGTAAAGACACTGGCATGAAACAGTCGCTGGAGCAGCTGCCTCGAATCTGCCCACTGGAACACTTCAAAATGCAACGAAGCCATTTCTTCCCCCAAACAGACATCAAGCACCACTGACGAGGAACACGCATGTCTGCATCTTGATCTCTCCCCGATCGAAGCTTTCCTGGAAGCTTCAGAAACTGTGCAAAAGGGTGGCCTTCGATTTATCCTTCCTTCCCCACTCCTTGGACAGGCTTGCCGTAAACCCGGCAATGCGGATCGAGGCCGAGGTCTGGCTGCAAAAAGGGTGCAGCACATCGTGGCAGATCCCGGCCATCCTTGCAGGGAGTGCGTGAAATCTTGGTGCGAAAGCAAGATCTATTCCAGCCGAGAGTCGCATCGCCACGAACCGCACGGTCACAGCCATCAAAGACAAGGAAGCAGAAGCTCTTCAGGCTGAGAAACCTTTTCGTGTCTCCAAAAGGGACAGCTCCGCGCAACCATCAAAGTCACTACACTCCAATACTGCCTTCACACCAAGTCGTGACGAACAGACTGGAGACGCGTTGGTGAGTGCGTGGTAGAAGATGTCAGGCGGCCCGACCAGTATGTGGTTCGACTCCTCGGCAACCGTGCAACAGGCTGTGCGGCCCCGATAGGTTGAGCCCCACTTCAAAGGCAAACATCCGCCACGGGCAAGGTTTTTTATCACGACTCTTGTTGCATAGCCAGAAAACTGTCAGTGAAACGGTTGGCACCTCCGAACTCACCCTGGGCAGTTGTGGGACCAAGATGTAAGTGGAATATGATGCAAATTGGATCACGGTGCCGAATTTCGCGACATTCCTGAACCATAGGATGGGTGGGATTCAAGGCCCTACCAAACAGCCCCGAGGAGACGACGAGTATCACTGTCAATGCCAGACCGAGCATTTCCATCCGAGCACACCCCAAAAGTACGCGCGGCACTGTGGCGGGAGTGTGATTACTGCACTAGTTCGCACATGCCACATCTAGGGGCTGCGTCCACGGGCGGGAAGCGCAGGGAGCAGCCCGGAGCAAGCGCGCCCTTTGTGGGCTTCTGCAAACGAGGTCCCGCATGCCCCGGTGGAAAAACGCAGATCCGCTGAAGCAGGGCCGGCGGCATAGCCCTAAGCTCGCCTCAGGCCAGGACTAGTGACGCGGCTGGAGCGGGAGTTTTGAAAGAACCGATCTTCGTCCCAGAATGTCCAGCCGGCCGTGAGTGCAGTGCCCAGAGCGTTATCACACTGTTTCAAGAAGAAAACCAGCAGGAAGCACGGCAGTGATAACCAACGACAAGGAAAAAAGTGCAGATACCTCTACTTATCGCCGCCACTGGCTCCATGCACTCATCCCACTTCTGTTTCGGCCAGCTCTTTTCCAACTTGCCCAGCTGCGCCACCTCGAGCTGCCACAGCAGTTGCAGCAGCTTGGGGGTTGGAATGAAGGAGGCACCCTGATTAGAAGATTCCCAAAACTCAACTTCACTAAGCATTGATGGGGCAAGGATGGACCTGTAGTGTGTCGACGCAAAAGCCAACACCCATGAACAGAAACACCGCATCCAATATGTCACGCTGCAACCAAGGGCCCGAAAGAAGCAAAAATCCGATCCCAAGAGCCAAGCACGCACAGCACCCCCAGCGCGAAAGCCTGAAATTCAACTCGAGGCAAGTCACACGCAGGTTACCCGCGTAGTGCCGCTGGAACATCTTCGCTTTTTGCTGGATGCAATCCGGAATCACAAGCATGACCTCAAGTGATGATGGTTGTTCAAGCTACATCTGACAGTGTCGCATAGACTCGATGGGCACCAAAGCTGCTCCATACTAACATTCAGTGGCAGAACAACTGCACGTCGACTATGCTCCAAGACTGAAAAATTAACTGAGGCTCCCGGTTGGCATCGGCCGGCGCATCGAAGTGCAGGCGGTCGATGCAGCGGACGATCACCATCGCCGTGCCTGTTGTTGCGGCTCAAATCAAGGAATTCATAAAAGCACCGCAAGGTTCCACCATACACCCAAGAAACAGCTAAATCCAGTCGAATCAATGGTCATCACCGAAGGGCATTTTTCAGTCCGCCGTGCGCTGCGACTAAGCAAATCTCACTGTGCAACTGCGGCCACTTGCCCCATTCCATGTGCAGACATCCTTTGTGCAGAGTTCCAGGTGAGAAGCCATACGAACAAGATCATCAACGAATCTACAAACTTGCCTTCGCAGGGCGGAAGGAAGACTATGGTGTTCTTGTCCACGATCTGCTTGAAGCAGCTTGTCTGACAGTCATCGACCCCTCAGTTGTGATCAACACCCACACGTATGACATCGGCACAACGGAACTGAGGTCAAGCGGCACGGTCCGCGTGTCGCACCCATCGCAAAGAGATGGATCTACAACGAGCAATGTCAAACTACTTCTGCTGAACCGGCGGCAAAATTCGACTGAAACCCAGACAAGCGGGTCAAACAAACCCGTCACATGCGACAAAAACCTCGCAATGCAGGAAACATCAACCAAAACAGCAGCGCTCGTTGTTGTTTTTATCGCATCAGAAGAAGCAAGCTTCACGTACACGTCGGCTGCGCAATTCGTCTTCATGCTTTGCCATCGAATTGGCCAACGTTTGCAAGCATTTCGCTGTGGTGATTTGTCATCGGGTTTGCTAGAACAGCGTCGAGCGCATAAGATGTTGGGGTTCTTGGTACTAGTTGAAATCTAGCAGAACCTCTGCCGGCTTTCAACTCCTCTGGACGATCGGAGCTTCGAGCAGGTCGGAGTTCCCGAAGCCTGGACCGTGAGCTGACGCATGCTTCTGTTTGATCTCAAACACTACGCCTATACGGTCGGTGGTCCATGAAACCAGAGTTGGGGGCGGTGGGGGAGGGGGGGTGGGCGGTGGGGGCGTGGGGGGGTAGGGGCAGAGCTGCCCCAGCGGTGCGTTCGCGATGACTTCTATGCGTCTCTCGTCCTGGCGGACGAGGACAACATTGAGATCACGCACAAGAACATGCATCGCAACAGCTGCACCAGCCTCCCGGCATACTCTAGCGGCAGCTCGTTCGAGTTGGCAGCCACGGGAACGCAATACACCAGAGCGTGGGCAAGCGGCGAGGTGGTCTCCGAAGGCATCATGTGGTTGGCCACACCGGCATCTCGCTGCTGTGAGCGGGAGTGGCAGGCGTAGCCGACGCAGCAGGAGAGCTCGGAACAGTGGGGAATCCAGGGAGAGTTCAAGCGAGGTGGGCCGTGCAGTGAAGATGCAGGCAGCAAACAGTCCTGCCTGTGAGTCAAGCAAGGCTGCGGAGGAGGCATCAAGGTGTGACAACACGCATTCGTATCAAACACAGCATAATTATGCATCAACTCGGGTCTTTCGGCCCACATGTGAGGTCAGACTGTTCAGCATGCACTGCTGTAATTAGAATGTGAT